ATATGAGTTGTTTAATCCTCAAAGGCTTTTCCTGGTCCACTTCCACCTACACAAGCAGTCAGTCTTTTCCAGCCCACTGTGGTACAATCTGTGCCATAGTGGTTCATGCCTCTGACAAACCTGTTTCCCAGGCAGTGTTTCTTGCTGGGATCACTCCAAGATCCGCGGATCCTGCTGGGGAGCTTTCTGTTTTTTCAAGTATTTTCAAGTATTTTGAATTTCAAGTATTTACATTTGACCAAGAATCTCCCAAGTGGTGCTGGACTTGCGTTTCTGAGGCTGTGCTTATGCTGGAGGAATTAGTACCTAGGAATTAGGCTGTGGTTTGAGAGCCCCTGTCAGCAGCAGCAGCACTGGTCCCAGTGTGAACACCGGTGTGGACAGGCTCGGGTGTGTGGCGCCAGGGGAGCTCCCRGAGCTCTGCGGTCACTCTGCACCCGGGTGTTAATTACCCAGCCCAGGCCATGCTCCAGAGCCTTTCCTGGTGCCCTGCACTGGGGAGCAGCACAGATACCTGGAGAGGAGCCCCARCACAGAATTCACGATGGAGTGCTCCCTCTCAGAGCCTGCCAAACCTTCCGGATGCATCCCAAAGTCTATCTAGTCCTGGAGACTCTGGGGGCAAGAGGGACTTCAAGGAGGCAAGTATTTGGTGTGACACTGGCTGCCATTTCCTGCTCTGAGGGAGGACACAGTTGGTCTTTACATCTTAMATTTTGTCAGAGCACCTAAGATCCTATGTGGGCATATTAATTTGGATGCCTTGTATCAGAGCAAGCATCAGTAAGCAGGGCTGTTAAGAAATCTCTCCTCACTCATGCACATCAGGAACATTTTCCTCTTYGGCATGTGTTCTTCAGTTCCCTAGCAGTACAAGCAAATTGGAAAGTTCAGCTGTCATTTGGGGAAGGTCATAGATCACACTAGCAGCCTGAGTAATCCAAGAGGTTTTAAGTATCACAGCATTTAGTTTAAAGTGAAATTTGCTCTGACAGGGGCTGGCAGACCAATAGGAAAAAGAAATATTTGTGCTTGGAGAAGTGCATGTGTAGAGACCTCGAGTATAACTGATGGCTGGAAGTGATTTCAGTCTAAAAAAAACAAATCATTAAGAGAGTGCATAGGGGTAAAATACACAGTTCATATTTTAAAGGGTCTCAAAATGAACCAGCAACTGAGGTTAGCAGTACATAGTAATTAGCTGGGCTGTTCACTGTTTAACTCCATCAGCCCCAGGCGTGGGGCTGAGCTTTGCGCAGTTGTGCAGTGCCAGGCTGGTGGCGAGCGCYGCTCCCCATGTGCAGTTTGTGAGGCCAAACTGCCTGCAGTGACTGCAGATTAGGGCAGCAGCCTAAGCTCTTCATCTGAGGGGTGTTGTGGGGCTGTGTGATCATATCCACTCTACAACTGCAGGGCTGCATGCACTTCTGATGGGTACCCAGTTAGACAGGAGTGAGTAGTGCAAGGAAAAATACATCAGGGATGAATATTGCTGCCCCAGTGGCATAATGACTTTACGGGAAGACAGGCTGGTGCTTGCTGTGCTGAGCACTGAGTTTCCTGTAGATGCTGGAGCATAAAGCCAACACCACGTTTCTCCTAGRAGCAAACTTGGAGGTTGATTGCTGGTATAAATCTAAGCACACATGGCACAAATCATGATCTCAGGCCAGTCGTTATCCAACAAGTGTTTACAGCCGCAGAACTACCATCTCTGCTGGCTCTCCCCTTCTGCTGTTCTTGGCAGAGCAGGCAAGGATTCATCAGGACTTGTTTTTAAACGCGTCTTCACCTCGGTGGGTTCTGCCCTAGGCCTGGCAGCAGGCACAGCCAGCCAGACTCTGCTCTCCAGACGCGTGTTGGCTCTTTGGTTGTCCTACCCCTACACTCCGTCACCTCCTGGGCTCGAGACCCTTCCCTTCAATGTCGACGGGCTCCGTGCTGCAGGCTGCCAGTGCAAACAATCCAGCAGGCAAAGCTGGTGTGCTTCAAGAGCACTAACATGTAAAACTGAAGCCAGTTTTTTTCAGGCATGCTCAAGACTTCATTTACTTCAGGGGGAAATATTTAGATAGGAGAGAGTAGTGATTTGATCAAGGTGTTTTAATGTGATTTTCTGTTCTTTTTATTTTTTTTGACTGTCCAAAGCAGTTATCAGCTGATCCATCTCTTCCAGTTTTCTTCAGGACACTAACATATGTCTGAACCATTTGGAAATAACTGATACTCCTCAAAGTTTGAACTCCAGGGATCTTTACCTAATTACTTACACATTTATAAAAAAAAAAAAATTAAAAATGATTTGTTGAGAATGTGATTGAAACCATATTTTCCCTGCTCTCGTTATCAATTTAAATACATTTAGAAGTTCTTTGAATAAGGATTACTGAGCTGGAAGTGGCTGGAAGAGCTCAGCCTGCAGGGATAGAGACCCATTGCCACCGCGTGGCTCAGGGCGTTATTACACCWCAACCCAAAAAGCCAGAGGTGGTTTAGCTTGGGCTGTATGAAGAAGTTCAGGACAGGTTTCAGGCTCCTATTTTTGCTGTGTCCCTCTGTGCCCCAGTAAAACTGCTGTGAGCCAAGGCATGGCTGCTACAAGCTTGACTTGCAGGCAGCTGCCCCAGACACCCTCAGCCTCCTCACTCACCTAAATATCATTCCAGAATGAGCCTTTCAGTGGTTTGCAGAAATGCAAAAAGCCCTGATTCTACCATACTTATAAGAAAAACAACTTAACCAAAACTAACATTGTTATAGTCACAGGAAACATCGTGGAAAGATAAACCCAGAAAAGCATTTTCTGTTAAAACAGCTCTTCATTATAAATCMGCTGTAGATGTTTTTAGGATCTTTGGAAGAAAACAATGAAATTTCTGCATTTAAAGGTAGACTTAAAGGGTCTTGCTTGTTCGCAACGTTACATGTGTGTGTATCACCAGGAATTTGTAGAAGCACAACAGAACTGGACTCTGCACTTCCAAATCCCACTGTGCCTTCTTTTAAGTACATTATTAACTCCTGGCACTGCCAGTACTGAAAGAATGCTTAAGGAATTGGCAGTGGTTGGTCAAACAAACTGGTCAGCTTCATGCTTGTCCTTGTTGGCTTGTTCAGAATAAGTTTGGGCCTGATATTGAGACTCTGCACCCAAGGGCAGCCCGGGTGAGGTCTGTCTGTCAATCCCTTTGCACACTGCAAATTACTGACAGACAGGAAGCAGGACTGGCTAAGGTGAGTGCTCAGTTTGGGGTTTCTGGAGATGAGAGATAAACACAAAGTAACAGGATTTCTCTTAATCCCTTCTTTCAGGAGTCTTTCAAATCTTCGGGCTTGATAATGAGAAAGCTGTTGTTTGCCAGGTACAAAGGAGGCATCTGGGGAAGGTGCCTCAGAGGTCACCAGCTCATTTCCTAATGGGCTTCAAAAGAGTAATAGGACTTTGGAGTGGATACAGGAAGGAAGGGGTGGCCAGAGGCAGGTGTGGAGCCAGAGGAATGTGTTCACAGAGCTGTGCACCACTGCAGGATACACYAGGGCCACTCTGCTTCTCTCTGCTGTGCTGAAGGGCTGATCAGCYTGTAAGGCTGGGTTGATGGCTCTGTGCAGGAATTAGGAGATGGGTATTGCTAATTCAGATACACGTGGACAGAAATGGAAATCCAAAGCACTTTCAGACACAGCATTTCTCAGGATATGTCCAGGTAAAACAGTGATTTTTCTCTGCAGTTTGGCTATTGGTTGTATCTCTTCCCTCTCACAGGACAAACCTCATCCTCAGACCTTCCACCTTCACCTGACTAGCAGAATATCTCATGAATGACCTAGTTTTCTGAAAAACCAGGCACTAAGGATGCTTTCCTAGGACTTCACTGAGATACAATCCAAGCAAAGTRCCTTTGTGAGGACAAAGTGATGGACATGGTTCCCCCCATGCAGCTGAGCTTTTCAGTCCAACCARCTGAGCCATTCCAGCTTCTTGCTGAGCCAGGGCCTGGGGCTCACCCATTGTACATCTTCTGGAGGGGTCATTCTTTCCCAGCCCTGACTGTTGCATAACCCATGTTCCATAGGGATAATTGGCAGTAATGAGGTTCAGCTTTTCCCCAATCCAAAAGCACTTTGGTTCTTTGTGTTTTGACAGTCTTCAGAGGCAAAGTTCAGCTCCTTTCAATGCATCTTTAGTCAGACAATAAATCAGGATCCTTTTCCATTTGTCCCTCTACTGAAGTGGAAGCTAAGTGACATAGCTATGAAKAGGCAGTAATCCAGTGTCTTAGGCAGTGCTTGTTTTCCCCCTACCTCCTGCATGAGAGTTATTGTTRAGCATGACATATGTGCCACTTTTCCCTGCAAGTTCTTGTGCTTTAGCTTGTAAMTCATTGTTGTGGGACTTTTTAGGTGTAAAAGATGCTGTTTTACATGAAAAATTAATTATTCTCTCATTAGTACATAGCCTTTCAGTATGTGATTCATTCTTTCTGCCATTTGGCTGCCAGTCTTGTATCCCACCAGAAACACCATCTTTTACTGAATTGTATTGCTGTGCCAGACATTCTCACTTCTAGYTGGTGTTTCCCATGCACCTCAGAAATGAACTGAAGGCAGGGAATGAGACTGTTCAGATGTGCTGTGTAGGGTAGGGTTACAAAAGGCTTTGCCAGAAGCCTGAAGGTCATGTTAACTTTAATGTACAGAGGGAGAAACTGAGTCATGGMAGTAAAGTGCTTGGGCAGCAAATCYRTGAAGGGAGGGAAGAAAAGACTTTTGTCTCTTCTGGAATTCCTCTTGGACCTGAAAGCCTTTTCTTGACAGGAGTTGCACTGATTTCTCTGCAGYATTTCTTTTCCCACCAGTGAAGCGGTGTCCAGAAGCAGAACACGGCTTGCAAAGTTGCCTCACAACACCAACTCTGTTGACAGGAGGAGCTGGAGACAGCACCGATGTGCCTTTTATGCCATACAAAACGCTGCATTTGTCTCTCCTTGTTTGTTTTGTAGCATTGGARTGGATGGATTTGGTCAGAGCCCGGGGGTTCCCGGGCGCCCGGCGACTGCGTACGGCTACCGGCCGGATGAGCCGTACTACTACAGCTACGGAGCGCGGTGAGCCTGGGCCTGGACCAGCACATCTGTCCTCAGTAATGCATGACTGTACCACCATGGCTCCAGCACTCTGTATCCTTTGGCATGTGTAGCTCCACAGAAACTTAGCCTTTCTGGGTCCGGTGTGTTAGTGAYGGTGTTTACTCTTTGGTTGCTCTTTGTTATTATTTTTGTACAGTAACTGTGACTTGAAAGCAGGAATTGGAAACTACTGGACTGGAAAGCGTCACATTATGTATATTAAGCTACTAATTTAATTTCTATTAAATATAAAAACCTGTGTGGTCAGCAGTGGTGAATGTGTTTCTAACCAATGTTTGGTGTGTTTTACAAGGCACTTAAGAAGAGTGCTCCATGTGCAGTGTGTTTAACATGGACCGTTTCCCTCTCACACTTCAGTCACAGGAACACCATTAAGCCCCGGCATCTCCTGGCACTGCCTTGACACGTAGCTTGGACCAAAGTCCAGCCCTGGGTCTGAACAYTTTAATAATGGAAAGATGGCACAGATTCACTCCCCTGGAGCTTCAGACATTTACAATCTATTCTAAATGCTTGAAAACACTTAAAATTAGAAACTACCAAACAGAATACCCTGTGTCCCAGTGTTTAAACAGTTCTGTGGGCTGAGAGAAGACAGCCACATCCATCCAGAGGGCCAGCAAGAGAAAGAAATGTACCTTGGTTCAGAATCCAGAGACAGAGCCTTTACCCCAGCTTCCCYATCTGTAAATAAAATCCATCCTGTCCTGCTCATTTCTGGAGTTTAAGATGGATMTAAGCATGGATCATTGAGCAGCAGAGACAGGCCAGGACCCCTTCATGTTGGAYTCTCAATGCAGGGATTGTTTCATGTTTGAAACACAACCTGCAAACGGAGTTCAGGCTAAAGCTGTTCTTCAGCTATGCATGTCCACTGGAGCAGACAGAAGAAAGGGATGAAAATGCCCCCTCTGCCATAGCCACAAGGCAACTGTTCAAATTTTCACTTCTTTAAAGAATAGTTACCTCTACATCAGCTTTTTTATTTTGTTAATTGCTGTTGATTTGCAGATTCATTCTTCTCCTTCTTCCTCCCTCATTTATGGCTTAAACAGAAAGYTGACTTGCATCAGGGGCTGATCCTKCTGAACCAGCCAYCAGTAAGTCCATAAGACTGGGGTCTGTGCTGGGAAGGTGATCTTCAAAGGCATGGGATTGTTTAGGAAGCTGACAGACTTTTAGTCGTATACTTCAAAAATACCTTTGAAATTGAAATTGTTTTGAAACCCTGTGTTATCTTTACAAAGTGTGCAAGTGCTTTCATAAGCACTGTTACTCCCCATGTTTCAAGCTGCATGACTGGAAACGAGTCTAAAATTAGCCATGGTATTTCTTACCAGTTTTCAGCCTTCTCCCTGTGCTGGCTTCTTGTTCAGGGCTTCACTCGCTGGAGGTGGGTGGAAGAACAATTGGAATTGGTGGAATTGCCAAGATTAAGTAGTATTTTAAAAATTATTTTTTCTACCATTTTTAACTAATTCTTACCCAGTTTCTTACAACACATAAGATCTCACTAAGAAACAAAAAAAAACTTGAACTACGCTAGTGGGTTTCCAGTGTTGTACCTTTCTAGAKCCTTTCCTTTGTTCTGAGCCCACGCTGGATTTGCCCACAGGTTGTGCCACGTTCAGTCAAAAGCTTTCAGATATTTTTGTAGTTATAGCTGTGAGAATAATTCCCCAAACTGCACACACAGGCTTTTCTTCCGAGACTGGCACTCRCTTGTCAGGCTTTTCCAGAAATTAGTGTGAAGTTATTTAAAGCAGTTGCCCTTCTCATGGAATGTGTTTTGGGGRAAAAACAAAATGAAGTGGGTCCTTGGAGTATATGCAAACTATCAATGAAACTGAAGGAGCCTTTAATTGGAAGCTTCAGGTTAACGAGGAGCTGCAGTGGAGCTCCAGCGAAGGGGTGGGTGTCTGTAATTGTAATACAGTTGTGACCATGCTGAGAATAAATGGCAATGGAAAAATCTCTGGCTGCATTTTTAGTATTCATGTTAGGAGTTTATGGGAAAAGAATAAAAGATCAAGTATTTGTAGCTTTGCCTGGCAGCAGCTAAGAGAAGAACATCATTTATCTGCAAGCAGAGCTTGGTAAAAATTACTCAGCACTTAGTAGCCTGAGGACACAGCCTGCTAGCCAAGATGAAAACCAGCTGTGCCACTGCACTCTCAAGGCAAGAGAGAGGCTGATTTTCTCTTTAATTACAGTTCCTGAGCCAGAAAGGGAGAAAAAAGATAGAAGCACATAGACTTTTCAATCTATATCACATTTCCTGTGGGTGTCAGAGGAAGACGGGAGAGTCTGACCTGTTTAATTATCTGTATTTATGGATTCAGTCCCTGGGTACTGTCTCCTGCATAAAATGGGGTGACGCGGGATCTGCTTTCTTTTTGCARCTTTTGTCCTTTACTCTTTTTCCTGGTTTCTCTCCCTGACTTTGTAGAGCTCCTCTTCTCCTTCCCTACAGCAGCAATCCCAAACCATCCCAGGAGTATCCTCTTTCCCAGCCTGCTGCTAATTAATTAATGAGTTTGGTTAGGCAAGTGTTTTAGATATAATTGGGCTGTAAAGTTAATAGCACAATGAAATAAGCAAWGGCTGAGAAGCTCCTACGTCTGGTAGCTATTACAGAGGCTTTGTGCAGATGTATGGGCTCATTTCTGGGAGCAATCTGCTCCATGCAGCCRCCTAAGATCTTGTGTTAAATTATTTTTTGTACTATACCAGTATTTAGGAGCTTTCCAGGGCAACAGGGTGGGGGAAAGCAAAAGTAAACAAATATCCTCATCCCTSAGAGCTCATGGAGGACCTGATTCAAGGTCTTTTTAATATTTGGGGGGGGGGTGGAGCTGTCTGCTTAGAGTTTAACATGTGCATTTCATTCTGAAATCAGACTGCCATGATTCTGTTTAATTTAATCCACTCTGGATTAAATGAAACAGGAACAAGATGTATCTTCCTCTGGAATAAGCAGGACAAGCTCTGTTTAGATACAAGAGATTCCGGGCCCCTCTGGCAGGTTTTTTAATGGAATTCCTGTAGTACAGCACTGCTAAGCTCAGCTGTCCACTCGTCATGGCAGGAGGCTGAGAATAGTGACAACSTCCATTCCTTCTGTGACCATCCTGAAAAAACATGAACTACATGAAGCTGACTTTTCCTGGTTCAACTCATGCCAGCTGTCAGCCCTTGAAATTATTGTGATCTGCTCATTTTTTTCTTCATGGTAAGGTTTTGGAGTTTTCTTCTGAAAGAGCTCTGAGGTGCCAAGAGAGGTGTTGGGGCTGCACAGACAGTGGGGGGCTGCACTCCCCTGCATGCATTTCACAGGCACAAGGTGACATTTGCAGCCAGTTGGTCTGAACATCCACTTGAATAAAAMCATGGATTTTTCCAGAGCTGGAAAAAAATGCTGGGCTCCCTGCCCCCTAAAAAAAAAAAAAATCCTACTTCTGTTTATTAAGAAATTGAGAAATGTCATAAGCAGCAAAAAATGACTGTAGTGTGGCTGTAATTAATGTGGTCGTGCAGGAGTAGGAGATCCCTGGAAAAGGCATCACCTGGCAGCACCACTGCAGCCTTGGTTGTTGCCCTGCCTTCCCCAGGGCCCYGTGGCCTGGAGGAGGATGAGCTGGGGAACATCTCTGCAGTACTGATAGTGCCTGCACCCGTGTGCCAGACAGGGCAGGGAGTTGAAATGAGATGAGATGAGCTTTAAGGTCCCAACCCAAACCATTCATTCAGTGATTCTAAGACAATGCTCCCCAGCTGTCCCTTTAGACCTTACAGACTCTACWCCATTGATGTGCTTTTTGCTGTTCCCCTCTACATTCCCCAGCTGTCTGTCTCCCCACTATGCCAATCTTTTCTTGCCCAATCGACTTAAATAACCAGTTCCAAACCTAATGAGGCATTTGCTAAGAGCTCTGTAATCCTGTTAGTTCCCTGTCTCTTCCCTTTGCCCTTTCAAAATGACGAGGGGTGTTCACACCTCCCTCATCAGGTCCTGTTCTCTGGAGCCCCTGTTGGTTGTGCATAGGAACGGCATAGGGTGAAGTTTGGGGGTTGAAGCCCAGAAGTTTGGGGGGTTTGTGCAGCACCTGGTGCCAGTTCAATCTGTGTGGAACAACGAAATCAGGTGGGGAAAGCAGGTAAAGGGAAGGAATCCTTCTCCACAGAGGCAGCCCAGCGAAGGAAATACACCATAAATGATGCAGAGCAGCCAGAGTTTGGTTTTTCTTCCTGACAGCCACATGAATCACACYACAGCCTGAAGCTGGAGCCAAGTGCTGTGAGTAGACGTCAGTTGTTGTTTATTAAGAAGTTTTTATCTTTACCTCCAGACGTTCACATCTTCTGACCTTCTGCCTTTGCCCTGCCACAAACACACACAGAGCATATACAGACTTACACCTGGGCCCTTGAATAAATTAATGAGTAATGTGCACAGCTCCCCTTAGTTTGCACTTTGGGATCTTTTTGGATGATTGTCCCATCTGTGCCAAAGACGCTGGATCTTTTCTGACTTCGATAGACAGAGGTGATGTACCTGAACTTCACATTTTATTACCCTATAATATGTGACACACTTCGTACATATGACCCATTTCACTTTCCTGCATCCTGCTCCTCCCATCATATTTCTGCCTTTTTTTAAAAGCCCCTATCATCCATCTACCAGCATATGCTGCCAGAGGAACAGACTCCTCCTAGSCCTGTGTCCCACATTAACCCTGATGTGCCACCTTGCAGCCCTCCTTGTGCTTAGTGACAGGAGAAATCTCCTCCTTGCTTCCATGAACAGATGGTGAGGCTCAGCTGAGCAGTTTGGGTGTGGATCTGAGGGAATCCCTTTTGCTGTCCAGGGAGCTGCTGTTCACCTGTGCTGAAGGGACTCTGGCACAGATGAGCCATTGCCCAGCAGACCTGTGTGTCTGGGTTCATCTGTGCTCTCCATGCGCTGGAAGCCTTCACCAGAAATGGGTGGGGAAAGCTATTGCTAAAGAACTCACTCTACACAGTTCATGCTGGATTTGACAGCAAAAACTTAGTGCAGGTTAAACTCGTGGAGTTGAATTACTGAAGAGAGCCAAGGCACTCAGACCACCTGTGTTAAACACTCTGCCCYGGCCATTAAATCTGCGTCTAGACGAGGCCACGGGGCTGGGCTGGGCTGCTGTTCACAGTGACTGAGCAAACCACATCCTCMCGTCCTGGCGCTGCAGGAAACTGGAATAACA